TTTTTGAAAATTCCCACAGTTTAATTTTAAACTGCAGAAATAGGTTTATATCCATCAGTTACAGTTTCAGGGGTTATAATAACCAGCATGGTAAAATAGGGATTCATTCTAAGTTTACTCTTGTTGTGATGATGAATATGAACCATGTGTCTGCTTTTTACACAATTCTTGTGTGCTTCTCTGTTCCAGGAGGTAGAGTGCGTCGTCCACTAATCAGAACCTTGGCTTTTTAATCCTGTGTACCTCAATTACGTTTGCCAAAGTGTCCTTGGGCAAGATACTGAACTGATCACAATGTGTGAGTGATGTGAGTTAGAGGAAGTGTTAAACTGTAGTGTAAAGCACTTTGAGTCATCAAGACGAGAGTGCTATATAAATAAAGACCATTTACTTTTCTCACGTGACGTCTTTCCAGCCAATACTCATCCATCCAAATATTGGCTGTTTTCTGAAAGTTTTGTTTTCTTAGATGTGACTCATGCATGATCATTTTTCCCAAGTTACGATAATCTCAAGCCTCTGGTAAGATACCTTTAACTTTTCCCATCTCAAATTGCTGGTTACTAGTTGACGATCCAGAGGCCACCATGTAAAGATTTGCATGTGCTCAGCATGAGGTGTCTTATCATGCCATCGATTAGGAAACTTTAATGCAGGAAATTGATTCTGCTGTAAAATGTGTTAAAAACACCACATAATCCTGTAGAAGTGACGGAGAGACATTTAGCCGTCCTTCAACACGAGACACATTGAACACATCTACATGCAGAAATTGATATAAATGGTAAAAGTGCTGTCGCATACAGACTCTGCTCATGAGCACAGACAGCTGCTTGAAAGAAACCTGCTCTGGACTCAATCTTATGTCAGGGACGCGTGGATGACGCATGTTTTCAATACGAAAGTCATTCCTGCAAAATTTCTAAAAGTGCTTGTGTGACGTGAGCCTGCGGTGAGGTGGTCTCACTCACCTTGCTCCTCAGCAGACCTCCGCTGTGATGCTCCGGCGTGCTCCTCTCCGACGACGGCTTGGCCTTCTCCTTATTGTTGCTGGAGTCGTTGTCCTTGATGATGTCATATTGCCGGCAGAACAGGGCGATAACGGCTGCCATGGCGGTGAGGGATGGGCACACACACACACACACACACACACACACACACACACACACACACACACACACATACACACACACACACACACACAGGGAGAAAGATGGGGAATCAGTCATGAGGCAGCAACTGTCACTCAAAGACGTGTCGCCGCTTCCTCTTGCTGCGCACGTTGAAAGGCCTTGTGGATAATGGAATTCTGCTCCCGAGGGAGTGTGATGTCTGAGCCTTTATCTGAAAGTTAGGAAGACAGTAATTCTCCATGGAGTCCGCTTTGCTGCGTTTTGCAATCTGCCTGGTGCGGTTCAGCCTTCAGTTTGGATGAGCACTCAATGCCCACAAACATTTCTTTGCTCCACTGAGGTTATTAATTTCTATGGGGACATTAAATATTCAGAAACTGTTGTGTAGCTCTGGTAATGAGACCCGGGGAGCAGTGAGACACACCAAGAAGCGTATAGGGTAATTCATTCATTAATCATTATTCATGCATCATATAAGAACTCTGCAATCTTGCAGCTGCACTGTCTCTGTAGCTGAGAGCATGTTGGTGTCAGCCACATGTTCACTGGTTTGTTGGTTTCAGGGTTGAGTTACAGCAGCATATGTGTAATTTTCGAAGTGATTTTTCTGCGTTTAAGGTTTATTGTGATTTTGTTTTAATGTGCGAGTGAAATAAGCTGTCACTTCCCTCAGGATATCAACATAAGTTTTGCAAATAAAGTGATGTTTTGAAGCTATTCAGCACATTTCAAACTGCTTAATACTCAGAAATATTAGCTGGTGAGATTAGATCATATGTTACTTTAATTACTTTCCAGGCAAGAGAATATAAGAGAGGAAGTGAAAATAAGAGAAGAACAAATAAAAATGGAAATAAACCAACTATAATATGTAGATTATAAACCTTCAAAGGTGATGAGAAGTACAATGCATGAAGTGAGTTAAATTGGTATTCAAACTGGGACTGGCTGCAAATGAGCAGTAGGTTATGAAAAACGCCACATGTGGTGTTTTCATCGTCCCACTCCTCGCTGCCTCCGCGCTGCTTTGCTTTCTCTCATTAGTATTATTTAACATCTCACTCTCGGGGCTCGGGGGCGGGGAGGCTCTGCTCCTGGCTGCCTGTCAGACACGCCACTTCTGATTGTGCCTCAACACTTCATTAATCAGCGCGCTCCCTCAAAGGAGGAGACGCTCGCTCTCAGATGGAGAGCTTAGATTCTATGAAAAGAAGCGTGATGCTGCTTCCACACCGGCGTTGTGAAAGGAGCTTTAAAGGGACGGGATGTGTTGTGTTGTTCGGGTTTTAGGGACTTCCACTCAATAAGGATCCTGTTGGTCCTGTTTATAAGTGTCTTATTGACTGGTGCATCAATGTATTGACGCAGCAACAAGATCATCTACAGTGTGAAACCTCCGTCATGTGTGCACCATTAGTCTTAATCACTGAGGTTGACAGTAACAGTTCCAGTGGACAGATCCCATTATCTTTGTGCTTATACAGCAGGATTTTAATGTCATTGCACCAATAACAGCTTATCAATAACGTCTAAAGTTTCACATTGGATTTATAGTTATTAGACTTGAATGGATCTAAAAATCTGTTAATTAATAATCTTTGAAAGAGCATGTGTCACCCTGAAGGACTACAGACGTATGGTTGCTATAGAGACAGCAGCATCAGTATTGCACATCACATCATTTTAATAATGTGGCTAAGATGGAGAATTCAAAAAACTAAGCTGATCAGTTTCATGAAGACTGTGGGTCTGACCAATATGGATTTTGTGGGGGCCAATACTGATATAAGGAGGTATTAAAAAACCTGCTACTAATTAACATTTAAAAACATATAACTAAAAATTGTCAGTGATTTCTAAGATGTCTTTATTACACCCTAATCACAAAGAAATGTATTTGAGACTTGATATTTTACAGTCTCTTATAAAAAACTAAAAAAGAAAACAAAAATACAACCAAATATAAAGAGGTCGTCTTTATTGTTCATTCAGCCGTAAAATAGGTTTTCATACTGGCGTGTATCGGCAAACACCAATACTGATCCAAGAAGCAGTAGCTCCCAATGCACTATGATAAGATGATTTTACCAATCATTGCACATACTAAGAAGCTGATTGTGAAAACAGGTTGTCAGTGTTGTTTAAAAACAGAGTCTAAAAACATACCTGCCCACATGACCAAGACCACCACGATTATGATCATCTCTCCCGTTTGTAGATGCCGTGACTTGTCCAGGCCTTGCACAGTGGGGTCATCTGGGAGAGAGGACAGACAGCTGCAGTGAATACAAATCTCCGAACACTAAATAATAAGTGCTGAATAATTTCCCCTTTATGAGCTCTGTAAAATAAAGTTATGTCATAAACAATGGCACCAAACATTATAGAGTTGAAATAGCACCCATACATCTCAGTAAAGGCTGAACATTTCACCCTTCACAACAGTAGTGCAAGTTAGAGCTTTTTTCTAAATGTATTTTCTGATGAATGTAGGACATTAAACTCACATTCCATCAGTAAGAACTGGACACCATCTTTATCTCTCATGACAGTTATGCCTTTTAACAAATAGTGTAACAGTCAGTGGTGGGAATTACCACGTTTCAATCTTATAGCATTAATCCTCCTTTAAGTGGATTGACTAAGGGCCCATTTCCACTCTCCAAACTATCTCTTAACCCGCATAGATGGAACTCTTCCAGAGCAGCACTCTGCCCAATTGCCTCATTTGTGAATCAGCTTGTCAAGGAACTGGCTCCGAATGCCAGACTGTCAGCTCTCTTCACATGATTACAGAGTGGGTTCGGTATCACCATGTTTTTTTTTAGTCTTGGTAGTAGTGCGGATAGACATGAGAGTAAAGAGGGAAGGGGTAGACGCACGTGAATCTGGAAGTTAAAGGATCTCTAATGGAGAATCACACGGCTGCTCTGCTACGCCAAAGACTTTGTGTTGAGATAATTAGTCGACTGTCTCTCAGCTCACCCCGAGTCCCGTGATGTTTGTGGCCGCGAACTGTGTCAGGGAAGCATGTAACTACACACCAGGGGTGCATCAGCTGATATGCTCTCGCATTGTGTTTCCTTGAGACGATTTATAACATCGTAAAACATTTTAAGCTGATTCAACAGAAAATATGCTTTGAAGGATGCACAGGAGGTAAATTGAAACTGATCTCAAACAAACCTAGAAACCAGTGCAATTGAAAGCTGTTTTGCTTGTTCTACTAATCAATCTACCAGCTAATTGTTTTCATTTTTTAATATCTACTCGAGATTTGCAAATCACAATGCTATACTGACTTATTACCTCTGTCAAGGAAGTTTTCATCTGTTTGTGTGGTGTCATTCTAGTTATATAATGTTCGGCACTTTTGCTTGAAAATTCATTTGAACGATTAATTGATTATTAATGATTATTTGCAGATTTTTGGCAATCAATCAATAAGTCTTCAAATGTGTCCACTATTTTCAAATCACTGTGAACCCATTTGTCTATAAAATATGAATCATTAAAGGGACATTATTCAGGCCGCTAACAGTGAGCAGCAGACCTTAGTCTCAGTGCTGTTAATGGGAGGCTGGTGGAGGTGTAGCTTCTGACTCAGCAAAGACAGCGTGGCACCTCTTTGAAGCATCACAGTAATTGTGTCTGAGGGGAGCACCCACCTAGTTAGCTCTGACAGCTCCCAGCATCCGGCCTTTGAAATCTTTCTTTTCTGTTCTCCCTCCCTTTGACAGGTTAGTGGCACCAGGTAACATTTTCATCTTCTCTGTTTATCATACTTCCTAAATCCATCCATCCATCCATTATCTATAGGGGCGCCAACGGGGGAGCTGGAGCCAATCCCAGCGGACATTGGGCAAAAGTGTGGGTATGTGTTGGACTGATCACCAGTGAGGCAAACAACCATTCACACTCATATTCACACCCATGGTCGATTTAGAGTCTCCAGTCAACCGAACCCCAATCTGCACGTCACATTTGGACAGAGAGTGTAAACTCAACACAAACACATTCAGTGCTAACCACCACACCACCATCCAGATCCTAAATCTTTCTCTGACAATTTCTCCTAATCATATTGAGAACTCAAATTACATTGTAAATCTACCCTTTTTTTTTACAGTCATGTGATTATTTTCATACAAAATCATATCCTTCAAGAAATGTCATAATTGTCTCTATTATAGTAGTTTATCCACAGTTAATCTCTCCCCCAAATATAGGCGTTTGGCCCCAGAGTGCAAAGTCAAATGATAGCCAACAAGCCTTGAGATTGATACTCTGCTGTCGTACGATAATGTTTACACCACATTGAACTATTCAAATACTCAAATCAAACCTTGTCCCTTCAACTAAGTGAAATAAATTCTATTTTCGTTCTTTTCATTTTGCAAATGTACAAACATCTTAACTTGCGGAAATTGCTTGAATATCATTCAACATTGCAGACAGACAAGTTTTTCAGTCAGAAAGCCAGACTCACTGCACCACATACCTCACTGTTAAAGGGCAGGCAAGGCACATAAATATATATCTGATTAAAAGCTTTCCGTGGAACTAATGGAATTGAAATAGACTCTGGAAAGACATATTGATCCTGAAAAGAAAAAAAGATCCACAGCTTGCTGCTTATTTAAATTCAAATTCTCCAGCAACACACGGTTCCTATCTCCTCAAATCTTGCCAGGCCAGGTTTACATTCAGAGGCATATGTACGCACTGTAATCACATCAGAGAGAATTTATTTTAGGAAAAAAAATAAAAGCGTTATTGATTCACGGGTATGATAGCTCCGGCTCTTAGAGCTGTCTGGTATATGGCCAACTGCAAATCAATTGTAGTTCCAATAGGAGGCACTTGGCCGTGACCGAGGATCTGAAGTGGGTCAGCTCAATCAAAAAGTATTTTTCATGGAGCAATGGTTAGCCGCAAGTACCACGGAACAGAATATCACATGAAATGAATGCATATTAAGCTTAATGTAGTTTGTATTTGAAAGAGGGATCATTAACATTTTCTCCAAGTGGGTGAGAGTTTGCCAAAAAAACTGAATTTTTTATTTTTTGAAAACTGAGAATGAATGTAGTGGCTAACAAAAGGTGTCTCAAAGGAGTGTACAGGAGAAAAGCCTAGTTTCTCATGCTGATGACTTCAGAGCCCACTAAAGGATTATAATATCTGTTATCTTAATAACTTAACATTTTCTCCCTCCCTGGTGGTAATCAGATGTCCCCGCAGGTCGTTAATGGGCTCATTTATTTTGTAATGTTGAGAAAATTCAAGTCTGAACAAGAAAATCTGTATAATAGCCTAATTAAAGGCCATCATCACAACCAGACAGGCTCATTCTGGGTCACTTTGCCTCTGCAAAAAAAGTATCTGTACTATTCTATAAAAAGACATTGAAACATTGTGTCTTTGGATATATGCATATTGAGCTATGAGATATCAACAGGTTAACAATCGGTGCCTATTATGTCAGTTGCTGCCACTGAAGCAGACAGTGTTTGTTTGTGAGGGTCAGAAATACTCAGTTATTGGGTTTATGGTTTATCAACTGGTATATTAACTTAACTCTTTATGTCAGAGCCAGTGTCTTCATTTCACATAAATACATAAATCCTCTTGATTTAAAAAAAAATCCAAACCTAGAAACATGAACCAAATATTTTTTAACACTTCATAAGTTATTTGAACCATGTACATTTTTCTAGTCTTTGAGATAGGAACATTTTTCTGTGCACCTCTTGAGACACCTCATGTTATTCAAGCTCCACGGCTTTAGAATTAGATTACATGACCTCTGTAGATGTTGGATCAAACTACAGGAAAACCAGCATTGACTTTGTTCTGTTATTTGACGGAATTTGCCTCCACAACGAACAGTCCACCTTAAATAAATCTACAGTATCAGAGTTAAAATGTACCTGGAGCCAAATATGATGAAAGAAGCTGGATAATAAACTTGACATTAAAAAACTGATGTGTACTTTGAAAATGGGACATCAGCAGTGCTGCAGTTAGATTTACAAAAAAGCTGACGTTGATGGCTTCTCCACTTACAAACACAAACTCCCACAAATTAAGCTCATCCATTGAATTGGCTGTTTCCCTGACCCACTTGGATGACTCAGGAGAGGGGGGGGCTACAAATCTTGATTAATGTTGCACAGACAAGGCAAAAGTAGCGAGACCCCTGCCAGGATTCTCCTCATGCTCAGCACTTTGTTCTGATATTGATGGTTCGCCATCGCTTTATAAATTCCATCCCTTTTAACTTCAAAAGTGACCACGGAAAATCATTGGGCCTTTATATTGTGCAGCAGCAGGGAGGGAGTGTGTAATGCCAGTGTCTGTATTAGCTTAATGGACGGTGCATGCAGGCTCCTGTGTTGAACTAGAGCTTGAATGAGTTCCTCTGGCTCTGGCTGATCTTGCCAGCTTAACTAATGGTACCTAACCTGAGTCAGCTTATAAGAGAAACATTTATGATTCTCACGCATCAGCACTTCCTGTATTCACGACCTCGGCCGGCCCATAAAATAACAACGTATCGCACCTCCTCTCCTTTTCAGTCCAATGTCAAACCCAAGTATGTAAAAAGAGTTTGGCTGAGCTCGTGATAATCGCAGAGCAGATTACCGCTGGAGTTTCCTCTGAAATGTAAGCCGCTCCCCAACTGCTTTTGATACAAAGCAAACAGCTTTTTCTCACTTTTCCCTCGTCTGTACTGCAAGAAACTCTGACTAAACCTATTCTCTACTGGTCACGCTCCTCATGTATTCCTCAGGCCCCGCGAGCCGAGGCCCAGACATGGAGTCTGAAGTGTTTTAGAGCGTGTGTCAGAATCCTGATTAGGCCCCCGGAGTGATCTAGAGTTGCATAAATTCAGGGGAGCTCACCCGTAGCCACGCTCGGAGAGTCTGTCAATAATGTAGCGGCGGCCGGGAGAAAATAAACCAGGATGAAGCACATAGAGCAGCAGCAGAGTCCCCTCCCCCTCCTCTGGAGAGAGAGAGAGACACTGTGAGAGGAGACTTCAGGTTACCTGCACTCGTTTCACCACTGGCCTTTGCTGCACCTCATTTTCAATGTCAGGGTGCTTAAAAGCATTCAACAGCCAGAGGAGGTTTTCATCTGGGATGGGTCGCTGCCGGCCGCTGGCAGACCATGTAGAGTTAAAAGCAAAGCAGTATGTTACATAACGGCACTGGGGGACCAGAAACTATAGTGCAGTTACCTGTGGTGACCTTGACAGTTTAGCTGCATTTGGACAAACTTCATTTCAGCTTGTTGAGTTGAGGAAAGATTCTGAAGTTGTACAATAAAGTCTTTCAACTGTATTTTTAAAAATTCTAAAGAGAAGTTCACATCAAGATATCACTTGCTCAGCTAGTGAAGGGGAATGTTCAATAGGCAGTTCAATGGCTCAGTGGGTAGAGCGGGTCGTCCACTAAGCAGAGGGTTGAGCTCCTACAGTTTTCATGCCAAACTGTCCTGACGGTGAACCCCCCTCCAAATCCCCAAATTACCTTGACGGCTGTGTGACAGTGTGTGAATATGATGTCATAGATACATAAAAGTGTGTATACATGTCAGCCATACTGTAAAATATGTCTTTCAGTGGTCGCTATTTGCTATATAGATATAAAATGCTTTATGAATGCAGTCCATTTACTATTCCGTATGTGAGCCAGTGCAGCCAGATATGTTTTCTATTTTTAATGGTGCTTTGTCATTGTTTGTCTGCCTGTCGGTTGCTCCACCACTTTGTCACAGACTGTTGTATCTGATGACCTTGGTAATCTCCTGATTTTTTTTGTCTAGAGCGATCAGTAGTGTTTTAGTTTGTGACTCATTGCCAATACTTTTTTCGTTGTTGTTTTTAAAGAATTCAGAACATTGACAAAAAGATAAAGCTTTGTTGTTTCATTACGTTTTGAACAAAAACTGCTGGATCGATTTCCTTGAAACTTGGTGGAAGGATGAGGCATGAGTCAGAGTTGAACCCATTTAATTTTGCTGCTGATCTGGGTCAGGAGGTGGATTCAGGAATTTATTTCCACTTTATTCAAAATTGTGAGAAGAAATAATGGAGAGATCTTTATTTTTAAACAGGTAAAAGTTGGTGTGGATCCAGATAAAGATTATATTTTGTGAGTAAAAATAAAAAATGTTACGGTGGTCATTTTTATTCAGTTACTGCTTTCAGCCAGAGAATGGATCATTTTTCCTGTGTTTACATGAGCATTTTGCAGAATATCTTTGTGTATATTATATCTGATCACAATATCCAGTTTGGTGATAATGTAGCCTCGATGGAGATATGTGTTCTCTGTATTTGGGGAAACACAGTCACCCACTTGTCATCGTCCCTGAACACAGACACAGAAATGGTAACTTTGACATTTATGCGTCTCAGGACGTATCAGTACCTTGGTTGGAGCTGTTGGACGGGAAACGGTCAGATTTCTTGAGGGTGCGAAAATGCACCTTCTTGCTGGCTTGGCTCTCCCCGTAGAGGCCGATTGACTGGACCTGGATGATGTAGTCTGTCTCCTCCTCCAGGTCCCAAAGGACACAGGAGCGACTGGTGGTGTTGACCTCCCGAATGAATCGCTGCATGTGTCCCTCCTGCCTCTGGGGATCGAAGAAGAGATCAAAATGAAAACAGGGAGCCAAAGAGGTGATGAAGGTGACCACCCACAGATGTCTCCATAAGGAAGACACTTCCATTTGAAAATAAAAAGAATCATGTACAAAGGGCATGACAATGTGAGCTGGAGGAAAGCAACCGGACGTGCAGGAGAAGAAAACGCTGAGAAAATGAAAAACTGCAGAGTCAATATTCAGACTAATTTGGACTCCTCCACACGCAAGCTCTCCAAATTTGTCTCTGACCTTTCAAAATGTTAGCGGAACAATCAAGACCCAGAACTGCTGCAAAAAAAAAATCCCCCTTTTTTTATTCTCCTGCACATCTGCACTTCAAGGACCAGATGTTTTCTTATGTGTTTTTATGGCGCTGCTCAGCTGAAAGATGTGATTACAAAAGAAAAGCTTGTTATTCTCTGTGAACAATGAATTATGTAATAATTAAACTGCCCTATACGCTTAATGTGTTCATTTGCACTCTTTGCAAGCATCAACATGATTACAGCAGCACATGGCTCTCCATCATTCAGTTTTGGCATTCTTGCTTCTCTCCTCTTTTCATCCTGAAAAAGAAAAAGCAGTCTGACAGCCTCGCACACTTCTATGCATTCGCGCCACATCCTCGTTTTCTCTTTACAAATCCACCGTGCCAACTTTTATTCCAACTCCGGGCCTGAAGGCACGATTTAGTCTCCACGCTGAGCAATGATTTAAAAGTGGGTTCTAAGAATAAGAATCCAAATGAAAACACATCTTTATCCACCCAGGAGCTCATGCAAATGTGTTACTACTTGCTCTGTGTGCGAATTCACAAATTCTCCTCTGTAAAGCCATCAAACGCTCATTGTCTGAGAAATATTCACTGCAGTGCATTCCACAGGAATGTGAAATGGCAGGAAATTGATTTCAGGTGCAATTCATTGGCTGCCAACACAATTTGAATGGGACAGCAGAAGAGGGCCACGTGCCAAACCACAAATGGCTCAAGCTGGTGTCATCCTCTCATTTAGAATTGTTCTGCTGACCTTTCTGATTTACATCAGGAGTTCAGGACTGAGCGTACCTGTTGCGAGATGGAGAAGCCGATAATGATGTCTCCCTCCGGAACCTCCCAGGAAACAGTTGCCGAGTCGGCCCGCAGGTGCATGACAGACACGTTGACGGGAGCTGGTGGCCGGTCTGGTGGAAAGAGACGGAGAGATCAGTTATTCCAGCTGTTCTCACCATGTGTGACCACAATGCACCTGGCTCCAACTCACCGCAGGGGTTTGGATGTACAGTGCATCGCTGCTTCTGATTCTTCACAATGTCAAAGAATGTTTTTCAACAGCTGTGGATATGTTCGTGAATGGAATTAGAAAATTACAGTGGAAAAAAAACAACTATCCACCCTCAGCCAAGCTGCATGTGTTGTGATGGTTGGATATGAAGTCTTATGTGATCAAGGAGGGATTCAGACCTTTGTGTAGTTTTTCTAGCGACTACTTATTTTCATTAGTGATTAATCGGTTCAATTATTTTCTTTTTCAAACATCCATTAATTATTTTATTTGTCAAATATTATCAATTTCAAAAATACCTTTCACCAACATTACTCACCCGCCAAGCAGGTTGTGAGGTTTCTTTAGCATCGTGAGGTCGGACATTTTTCATCCTTTTCCATGGCAATAATTCATAGATCTCGTTTCTACGAGTGTGTGAAATTTGGTCATGCTTGATTGAATTTAAGTGGACTGTTGAGCCTTGGCGGAGGTCTGTGCTCGCTACTGAGCACCATTCCAGTTTTCTTATTTTGTTTGACCAACAGACCAAAACCAAAATAAATAAAATATATCATCACATGAAACTATAAACATCAGCAAATCCTGACAACTGATGAGTTGAAACGAGGAAATGTTCAGCTTTTGTGATTTTCAAAAAACTGCCCAAGCATTTTTTTTTATCATCAAAGTAGTTTCCAATTCATCTTCATCCCTGACACACTGGCCTTTTCAAAATAACTGTCTCCATTTCCTGTCTGCCACCCTGGGACGGAATCGTCTCATCCTGTCCCTTTGCTGCCATATATCACGATTTGGTTGCTGCTGTGACGCTCTGTTGTTTGCCAAGTGGAGACAAAAGCCTGGGAAGCAAGAGGCCGGAGAAACAGATGGTGACAGATCTAATAGAAAGATCCGCGTGGCTTTACGGTCCCTGAGCAACCGCTCAGGTCGGATAGAAAGGTGAGAGAGATGGGATTGGCCGGGCAGATGGGGACCTGGAGGCCATCCACACTTCTTTTGTCATTAACGTAGGTATAAAGGACTCTTGTGTGGAGATATCTGATGCACTGTGGAGGGAGACAAGTGAGTGGAAATGTCCAGCGTTGCCAGAGATGTGAAAAATAATCAGAAAAGAAGATGATACTGCTTTAGTTTGTTTTTTCACTGGATTAAACAACTATGAATTAGTGTGGGTTAGATGAGGATGAACCCAAACCATTTTGTTGTGGATCTGGAGCCTTTTTTTTAACAGCGTGAGATATGTTATTCAACATTTCCCTGATTTCTTAGAGAATAATTCATGGATCTTGATAAAAAAAGATTTGGTGCAGATCCAAATACTACTGAATGCCATTCTAGTTATATATGTATATACCTGTATACCTGCTGTCAGTCAGACTCCAACACTCTCTAAAGCATTTCAGACTCAAAGCCTCACAAGCTGAAGAAAGTAAGAGTATATTTCAGCCAAATTAACCAAAAACGTTTTTTACTCCTTAGATATCTGCATCAACCCCTAAAAATTGATTGACACTACAGATCATACACGGATACACTTTGCCTAATGACTCTTATAAGCGGTAAAATTTCTCCAGTAGTTTACATCTTTCTGCAGCAGTTCCCCACAAATTGAGGATTAATTGACGGTTGTACATTTCACATCCTTTTATTAACTCTTGGGGCATGGATGTAATAACCCATAACACAGTTGTCTTGAGATGACAGCCAGAAGCGTGTGCTGTGGGAGGACAATATGTCATTTGAAAAGCACACTTGAGAGGGAGAGATGAAAGACAAAATGATGAAATTGGGAACCATTTCAAATGATTTGCCATTTCCTATTTCAGGCCCTCTCACATCCCTCCCCCTTTTATCTCGCCGTGTCCTCGTTTATCTCTCTCTTGCTCTCTCTTTTGCTTCTTGCTCTCCTGTCTGTTTTTATCTAGGAGACAATCAACAACGGTCTCTGTGTTCCGTGTTAAAGGTGACATTGAGGCAGATCCGAAAGACCCCCGGGTCAGACATGGGCCACCAGTCTCACGGTCTGCGGCGCTCATGGAAATATGAACCACGGGTCAAACCCGTGTGTGATGCTCGGCTCCATCTGGGCTCGTCGACGCGCTCGGAGATTGTTTTGTGGAGGGGATGGGAATGAGCTGAACAAGAGGTATTTAGTGGGTGAGTGGACATGAATGCTCCAGGCGTAGAGAATGCGGGGAGGAGAGGGGCCTTGGCTGTGGCCAACACTGTCGGTAACACCTCTCAGGAGGTTAAGAGGTGATGCCTCTCATTTTGCTCATTTAATGTGAAGCTCCTTCATGGAAGCAGGTGCTGTAAAGTGTTGAAAGAGACGTACAGAAGGTTAAGAGTGAAGGCAAGTCACCTATAGTTTAAATTGATCTTTGGAGAGCTGGAGGGGGAGATGAGTTATACATACAGTGCATTTACAGTAATGGTTCCTGTGTCCTTGTGCCATGGTCGTATCTAAACCACCGCTAATTTTGTCATGAACATTTGATGATCATGCTAATGATCCTGTAATTGAATACACAAGTGCAGCGACTCACTACGAGAACCAGTTGTTGTTGTCGTTATCAATCTCAGTTATATTGATGAGTCCCAGCAGCCACTGCTACAGGTCGCTGTTTTTTCAAAGATTAGGAATATTGAACGTATCATGTGTTGAAATTGCACCAAATTTGACACTGCACTGTGAAGGCGACAAAATGAACAATTATCGAGAAATGCGTTCCACATACAGACGGTCAGATTTCTAAAATTGGGTAGACTATCAGGAAACATCACTCACTCTTCATATACACACCTAACAAATCCGTCTTTATTTTATTTTATTAGATCTCATTATCAAATGCTCACAATGAACAGACTCGAATATATAAAAGCAGCATAGAGGATTAGTGTCTTTGATTCCAAACAGCAAAGAAGTCCACTTGTCTCTGCTCATCAACTAATCAAATTTGTCCTTTAAAAAGCAAAAGCTATCGAGCCTCCATCAGCGTCAGGTGCAACATTTATCTAACACAGGTCACATTCGTTTCTCTTGAAGCTGCTCGTCCTTTAGGTAATGGGGGTTACAGACGGCCACGTATGAGCAAAAAAAAGAAAAAGCAGCCTGTAAATGTGATGGATTGTCTGTGGATCATTTACTGGTGATGGTTCAGCTGACAGACGCTATAATTCATCACTAATGTAAAAGTGCCCTCTTCCTGTATGGCGTTATTTTGTCGTGGCGACGAGTACATTTCCTGAGAAGATAAAGAAATTACAATGGTATTCTTGTTTTCATTAATATATTTTATAAGCTAAGATCTGGTTTGATGTTTCCAGGAATGTAATCACTTCCCCTCTTGCTTGTTGGATGTTCTACTTCCATATTTACTATCGGCCACTTGTCCTGAGTGAAGCCGCAGAAAGCATTACATAAGATCTGAACTCAAACGGCTGCAGGTCACAGCGGCCAAGGATCGTGTCAGTGCAAATGAAAGATGTGACCTCTCTTAGGACGTGAGCGTGTTGCTGGGATGAATCATATAAAAAAGCCAAGGCCCTGCACGTGAGCCTCTCAACGTCTGACCAGCGTGCACATAAAGAGGGATTGTAAAAGTGCTGCTGAATCTATGAGCGGCTTATGAGCCACGTGGAAAGGAGCCAGGTACGACCACAGCATTTATATTTTGATCTCTGTATTTGCTTTCTTTGCAATATAATCTGATTTACACAGTTTGTTGAGTCGCAGCGTGAGATAAGACTTGTTACCTCCGCTAAAAACGTTTTTCAGTTTGAATTATGATTTCTCTAGAAAAAACATACCTGCCGCCTGCTTTCATGGAGTACATTTTTACCCCTACCCATACCTGTGAATTTATAAAAATATATTTACACAACTTTTTCTGTTGACATTTCACACTGCATGGGCAGCTTTTTATCATCGCTCATTTTACATAACCGCAACATACATGACTTAATAGAGGAAGAAAAACAAGATACACGCAGGGAGCTGGAAATCATGTCACCTGTTGAATTTACTGAAAACACAATTTGACAGGTGACATGTCCTTTCCACTTTACTGTCGCGTTCAATCTGATTCTGCCTGAAGTAAAAGCATAAAGATGGAAATGTTTAGCCAGTTCAGAATATGATATAGCTGCCTTTATGTGTTTGGTTTTTGCAGGGAGCTACGATATTAAGTCCTTGCTAACACTGTTTTGTAAATACTGTAGATACTGTATATGGATGCCAAACATCATAATTTCATTCATGTTTGCAGAGCATTATGTATTACCTGCATTACCTCTTCTCATTGGGAGAAAAATGAGATATTATCTGTCAAATTTACTGCAGACACAATTTGGCAGGTGACATGTCGTCTCCTCTGCTGCGTTCAATCTGATTTTGCCGAAGCATAAAGGTAGAAATTTACAGTCATTACAAAATGTCATGAAGCTGCCTTTTCCTTTTGTAAGTCACTAGAAACACTACTTTTTAATAGATAGTGTATCTGGATGCCTAAGGTCATAACTCCATGCATTTTTGCAGAACGTGTGTGAAAGTAGAGGCATTGACCTCTTTTCAATCACCTGATAATTTCACGATTGAGTCGTGTGTTGACACTTTTGAATTCTGCTTTATGATTTCTTTGGAATGGAAACATTTCAGAGACAATTACAAGATATTTTTAAAAGCATAGGTGCTCATTTAGGTTTTGGAATGTGATAAATTGAAATGTCCTCTGTCCTTTCTACACAGAGGCTGCTACCACATCATTTTTCAAACAACCTCAGGTCTGACACGAGCGAGTGCTTAACTCATTATTTAGTGGACACAAATGATTGATCTGTCCACTAAAGACTTAGTTAAACTCCCTGAGGAGCATAATTCATATTGCTTCATTTAAAAGCCAAAACACTGTGGTTCACCAAGATGGGGGTCTCTGTATTCCTGCCTTATTGATCATATTTCAGTCTTAATTACCTCACGCTCAGTTTGAAGGGCTGCGTGTAATGTAATCCTTTTCGAATACTCATTAAAAAGCCTCAGTCCCTTGTGAAATAATATATATTCACTGACATAAACAGCTTCACCTGGATGCGTCTCGGAATCAGTTGAGGGAAAACGTTCTCCTTTACACAGCGGGTGGTTGTTGCACAGCTGCTGGCAGGTTGTAGCGTTGCAAATCAACTGATACTCTTAAGCAGTGTCATGCTGGTTTGTATTTCAGCCCCGGCCCACGTATTAACCCTTTTGAGGACCGTTTTCTCGTGTAATCTCAGGATTTGTCCCCTTCTTTCACATTTGGAGCGAGTGGTGACTTTGTGTGATCTTTGCCTTAATCTCTGCATACATGAAGTGCAGCAACAACAGCAGGAAGTGCCCATGTAGGAGAAGATGGGGAGATTTGTCCAGCCAGGTGTGGCTAAGTCCTTTTTCCTGTACACTTCAGAAGCTCTTTACTGTCATGCCACTTACTGTCCCTGGCTTTAGGTTCATCCTGTCGTCCTCACACACACCCAGAGGCTGTGACACAGCAGTGAAACCAGATGGGACCAGGTGCTACTCTAAGGTTAATGCAATCACTGCAGTGAAACCCTGAGGCTCTGCAGCTGCGAGCTAACATTACTTCATCATCCCAAAACCGTGAAGGGTCGAAGGCAGATGCAGATTTGTTTACCAGGTTTAACTAGTGATTGAAATCTAAAGTCTCCAACAAGTGTGATCTACTGATGTGAAACCTCCAGTTAAAAATCCACTTTCTCCCCCTCACACTGTCTTTTATTCGCAGAATTTTTGCAATGCCAACAGATGAAATTATGACAGCATGAGCAAACATTGGCTCTTGCTCACCAGTCGTCTATTTGTTGAGAATGTGCCATCAGAATTATGAACAGCAGATTGCCAATTTGAAGAATAACACAAGCCTGGCCATCCAAATAAATTCAATAAAACTCTAATTGGCATTTGTTTAGCGTCAGAAGCTCTGCTGAGATGTCGTGCTGGATTCGTTTTTCCATCACGGAGCTTGTTTTCAGACCGAGTAAATGCAAATACCTGGGCACACGTTCCAGTATTTCTCAACATTAGAGTGAGAAAACTCAAAAACAGTTTGTGGGTTTGCTCCATGAGGGATTTTTCTCAATGACGTGCAAATATCAGATGCTTAATCCCCAATTTAATACATAATAATTTACTACAAGTATCATTTCTTCTGCTAAACTGCAATCTCTCATATTCTTGTGTAATCCTGCCTCATGCTGAAAAGTACAGTGATGTGTATACACCATTTAAGGCCGCTTTTAAAAGATTTAACTAAATGTCACTAATCGTGTTGCCTTGGAGACACTTCTCCCACTGACTGTTTTTATCGTAATTGAAAACCTCACCATGACCCTAAGGCTTAACAAATAATTCAGACCTTCCTCTGAATAACCCGTCACCATGAATCCCACAGTCTCATTGCATGCATAGGGATGGCAGTGATGAAGTCGCTGTTTATTTTTGTTCACTTTAATGCTCATTCAGATTGATATTTATATTTATGAGCACCACGTCTATTATTATTTTAATACCAAAGCCCATCTTGCTCTTGACAGACCCACATGCAGAGCTCCACTGAGATCAGAGATGCTTCTTGCTTCTCGCATGTAATCGCAGTACGTGACAAAGGCTCTGTGTGTTTGTTTCAGTGTACACACCCACATGAAACAATGGAGTGCCAGTCTGATTCTCTCAAGGAGCTATCACATGTAGGACTCTGTTCCTTTGAGAGAACGGGGGAGGAAGTGATAGAAGTAGACAGATAGATAAGACGCAAGCACACTGAGGCAGCAAGAGAGGATTTCTGTGACAGACCGAGACTTGAACAATACAAGTCTGAATCCAGGCGTGTAATGATAATGGTGCAAAACCATATCCATTGCAGAAACAGTGTAAATGAAATCATGCAGCTTAAAGCACAGGTGACCATTTTAACAGGCTGCCACTGCAACTGGTATTTCTGTGGCGCATTGATTTAGAAAAGTGACATGACTCCGATTTCAAATTGGGGCTGTACCCTCTTATGTATCTGGTTCTTATGGCGCTTCCAACTAAAAACCCTTTTCTCTCATATCAAATAATGATCTGATATGCATCTATTCAAGAGATGTATTTTTTCAGGTTTCATGTTGTATAGATACAAACTTTGTTTTTCTATATACAAGTGGGCATATTGATGCATTTTTTGGGGGGATGTGTATGTATATATGTACATGTCTTTAACTGGGTTTTGGATGTTTTGTTTCTTTCTTCGCTGTTCCAGGTTAATTTGATATACTCAAATTAATCTGTGAAGATTTTGTCTGATGTGGAAAAATAATCACAAATGTTAATGGTAATGATTCCCATTGCCAGACTTTATTGCTCTGCAGTTGCTTTTTATATTAGTTGCATTAGTAAATCAATCTGCTAAGTTTTTTCTATAGTTTTCAATTCAAAATAAAGCCAGTGGATGTTTAATTAAGGACAGTGACTTGTTTTTGATTCACAGAAAGTTAAGAAAAGTCTGAATAATGGTTAAACAAGTGCATGGTGGAGCTGCATATAGGATCAACGCTGGTTTACAAGTGAGTAGACTTGACGATTATAATGAGTTTGCCATGATTGAATGAAAATGTAGATTTAAGAGAATCTAGTTGTGCAGAGGAAAACAGATTAAAAGCCTCGTTGAACCCTAACAAACACAAAGACTTGCTCAGGTTCTGTTTTTTAGTGTGTGGCCAATGACGCATTTTACAAGGTTTTTATAAGGTGACTGACACTTACTTGCTCCCACCAAGAACACGTCGCTGCCGAAAAGCAACAGCACCACGGAGTTGACCATAACAAGCAGACGAGCCATGTCTTTGTGTACGTCGTTGCTCTTCTCGTTAAAAAACCCAAAAGAAACTAACAAAAACGCAGGTCTCCTACGCTTGAAGGGCAGTGAAGCTCATTTTTTTTATAACATGTTGACGAAGGAATCGGTCAGTGGCTGAATCCCGAGCTGCTCACATCAATCAGCCCTTGCAGGAGCATTATTCGCTGCATGAGGTGTTTTTTTTTAAAATCCACAAGTCCTTCCATCCGTCCATCATGCGTACTGAGAGACGAGGTCCGAGACGACTCCCATCATCCTCCAGCTGCAGGTGCGAACAGGGGGGAAGGAGGTGGAAGGAGGTGACGCTCACGTGGAGGTTAAGGTCGTGTGTCCCCTCCGTCATGAGCAGAGGGGACGCCCGGGCGGCGGTTTCAGCACCATGGACAGCGCCTCGGAAGTTTCCCCTGCCTCAGACTGGCTCCATCCGCGTCTCCTCCAGACTGTGCGTGTGTGCGTGTGTGTGTGTGTGTGTGTGTGTGTGTGTGTG